GCAACCTGTTACATTACACCAATTTACTGCCCACTAGTACAATGCTGAATTGTTTGTCTTTGAGGGTACAGCTGGGTCCTTTTTAAGACATCCGTTAAATAAATAAGTAGTCAAATCAAATTATATAAATATTGGGGTGCTCTTCGGAAAGGCTGCTATTTCAGGAAGCTTTACAATAACCCTCTTTTCAACTACCAGGAGACCAGTTTTCTTCTACGCCCAAGAAAGAACTGGACATATAGGAATGTTTGAGATCTTTTACAAGTATTGACAAAGTGTGGTAGAACAGTCCTTGCATTTGGTTTCTTGTCTAAAGCGCAACAACTTTGTATTTTATATTTTTGCCAATGGAAACATGAGGAATGTAATGAAGTGTTGCTGTGCTGCAAATATCTCAGCAGATGTTGAAATCAGTTCCAGTTCCTGAAAACACTTCTCGCCAACATAGTCTTCGCATTCATGGTAACAGAAACATGTGGGATTCATCTACAACATTCTTACAGGTATATTCTCTCTCTCTCTGTAACCCCCCCAGGCTTACTTGCTTCCTTGTACTTTATGATCATATGTGCCTGCGTGCTTGTACCCAGGCACATAGCCCGATGCAACAACCAGGTCTTCTCGTCCTGCTTTGCCTCTTCCTTTCCCACTTGGATCAAACCTCTCTTTGTGGGAACCAGTGAATTTTGATGTGTCTGTAAGTCGTGATACAGTTGGAGATGAAATGGTTTTCTATTGGGAGAAAGAAGACAAGAAAAATACTTTTCATTAAAAACTACTTGTAACATTAAACATCGTTAATTACTGTTGATATCAGAACTGTAGAGTAGTGATACATTTTAAAAGACTGAAAATGAGAAATTTTAGTTTTGTGGCACTAAATGTAATGACTTCACTAGTTACAAAACAGAGTCTGGGATGGTTTGGGGCATGAAAGCCAAATTTTTCAAAAGTGGGTCCAAGTTTTGGGTGGAATGCCTGGAGTCACATCGCTACTACAGTGAATATCCAGTAAGTGCCCCTCATCATCAGGTGTCTCAAACTTTCTGGCCCAAAACATAATTATAAAAAGTGTAACACCTTCAGCAGAACACATGTAGGGAGACCTGCCCCAGAACACCTCATAATCCAATGGTCAGAGTGGTCCCCTGAGAAATGGTTGACCCATCCCTACACCACCCGAGACTCGCTAGGAAAGCCTCAGTCTTCCACACCCTGGATAAGTGCTCTAACAACTGGTGGAGGTACCACCAAAATCACTTTTTGTTGCTGTTGCAAGAAATGGGTAGCCTGGCTTTTACTGAATAGCATGGCTGAGAGAAAAAGATGTTTCATAAAGCTAAATGCAATCATGAGAACTTCATTGCTAACCGTTTTGTAGATTTGTAGTTAAGGCAGAGGACAAGAGATGAAACATAAGCACATAATTTACAGCTTTGTGATTTTTACTTTATGGTAGAAGACAAAGAGGGTGACATCTTTGGTGCTGTCAGTTGATATACCTGACACTAAGATAAACTAGTTATTTTTGGCCAGTGTTCATCTCCTGGGAGTGCTGCAGTATTAGGAATTGTTTATACCATATTTTAAAGTGCCAATATTACTTTTGTGCATTCCAATGCATGCTACGGGAAAGAATAGGCTTTATTTGGAAACAAAGCACCTTCAAAATGTAATAGCTATCATGCAGTTGTTTGCGGTCTTATGTTTCTTTCTTGATTTATCCTTTGTACTAGGAACAGTTGGTAACAAAAAATTCTAAAAACAAAACAAAAATTTGCAGATTCCATAATTTCAAAGTTGTTTCTGTTCAGTTTTTGAAAGACTTTTAAAAAAAAAATAAAAAATTGTTGTTGGTTTTTATCTAAACCCAGTTTCTAGCATACCAACATTGAGAATAATGTTGATAACACTGGGAATAAAACTGGAGTGTGGGGTCTGGGCAAAAAGTAGAGGGCAGAAGGAGGCTCAGGGCTTGGGCAAGTGTTGTGGGGCACTTACCTGAGGCAGCTCTCCTTCGGTGGCACAAGCACTGGGGAGGAGAAGGGGCAGGTAGGCTCTGCATGCTGCCCTAGCCTCGCCTGCAGGCACCACCCTCCACGGGGGTGAAGCCTGCAGGTGTGGAAAGCACGTGGCTGGAGCTCCCAACACTTGCAGCTTCCGCCCAGCAGGGGGGAGACAGCAGTGCTGTGCCCCCTGCCCTGGCCAGGCAGGGCTGTAACTCAGGGGCTTTAGTGGCTGCAGCCCTGAGCTAAGGGGGCCCCCTCAAAAAGATCTTCACTTTAGGCAGACCAGAGATCTTTTTGCAGCCTCCTTCCCCACCCAGCCTGGGGCCCTGGGCTTGAGCCCCTAAATTCCCTTTTTGAAGCTGGCCTTGCTTACGCATGAAAACTTCAGCTACCACAGGACACTGCAGTGCATAGCCTCAGATGATTGAGAGCATGTCACACTTGTCCTCTATACTGGCCTTCCAGAGAATTTCTAATAAAGTTCAAGGTCTCAGTCCCAGGCCTGTATGCAGAGGTGTGTGTGTGAATCTTGCAAATGCACCCCCCCCCCATGCTTCCCCAAGTAAGCATGAGGGGAGGCTCCACAGCTTGAGCTAAGCCCCCCTCTCCTTCCAGCAGGGGAGCTCGTGCTGGTGCTTCAATCTTGCCGCCCTGCCTCAAGGCTGAAGCGCCAGGTTCGGCTTCCCACTGAGGGGCGGGGAGAAAGCCCCAAGCATCACTGCACCCTCCTCCCCCGGCCGGGGGACACCAGCGCCCAGACATGCTGCCAGAAGGCTTTCCCCACTGCTCCCATTGGCTGGAATCCAGCTAATGGGAGCAGCGGGAGGCCGTGCCTGGGACTGGCACGAGGCATGAAAGCAAATAAGTGCCCCTCCATGCCCAGCCCCCCCACACCCTCAGCCCCCCCCATGCACCCTCCCCACTGACACCCCACACCTAGGGTTGCCAGGTGTCCGGTTTTCGCCCGGACTGTCTGTTATTTGGGTCTGCCATCCAGTAAAAAAACAAAACACACCAGATACATCAATTTTCCCCTGCTGCGTCTGGCAGGGGTGAGGGAGTGAGAAGTGTGGGGCCATTTAAAGGCACATCACACTCTCCCCTCTCCCCCCCGGTGGGTTTTTGGGGGGAGATGTTCAGTATTTTTGGTTAAACCACCTGGCAACCCTACCCATACCCACAGCCTGCTCCTGCACCCTCCCCCTGGCCAATCTCACAAATATGTATATTTTATTGCTTTGTTTTAGTGTGGCAGTACTTTATAAGGTGCTTTATTTTGTTTGTCCTTATTTATCACCGATCACTAGGACACTGCAGCTATAGTGACAGTTAGAAATATACCCCCTACAGCACTTGCATATTTGCACAGCTAGACAAAACCAAAGTGTAATAAAACGAATAAGCTCGGATAACAAAGTTGGACTCCTGGCCTAATGCCAAAAAGGTTCTTACTATGTACACAAAGCAGTAGTGAACAAGACATGTACTCTGTATATAGACCATCACATGCTGGAGTGTGGGCAGCTTAGAAACTCTACAGCTACTCATATTAAGTAATGCTGAGCACAACTGTCCACTGCTGCAGCTGTCCTAATTCACAGCTGACTGGTGTGAGAGACACTAGACCTCAGGCACTGAGTTAGCTTGTTAATTTTTTTGGAGCAAATTACCTCGTTCTGCATTCTTCCAAGCAGAACACACATGGTATTTCTGAAATTGGACTGTAAGAACAAGATGATCATGTGGGCTACAGCTTTAGGCTGGTGTCCATATTCACCTTTTCACTGTGTGCAGAATGTTTGCATGTGTTTCAGCACATACATAATGCATTCCACCTACTGCAAATGCAGCATGCTCAAGCAGGGTATGCCTGTCAGTCGCAGCTGGAAAAGAGATTCTTGCTCCCAAGTTTAAGACCAATTTACTATAGAGTACCCAGGCCTCCTATGTACAGTCAAGTCTCCCCTACACCACCCATGTCACTTGCTGTGAAGATTTCAGAGGGCCAAAAACTACTGATAATTGCCAAAAAATAATTGTAAATGCCAATATCATTACAGAGTATGGAGCTTTCAACAGGTGTGAGTAAAGGGTTAGTCAGGGCTTTGGTGCAAAAACACACGGCCCTTTCCTTTCTATCTTCCACCGCCTACAGACACATTGCTGTATAAAGAACAGCTAAATTAGGCAACCGGGAGCAACGGCATGTGTCCCCATCTGTTACACAGGCTAGATGCGGAAGGGAGAACCCTTCATCTCGCTGCCTTGGCAGCGTAGAACAACCCTTGCAGCAGCATATCAGCAAATGACAGGTTGAAAGACATAATGCATTTGGGACATTTACTAATTAGGTTTATTTATAGGTGCCTAAGTCCCTCTCATTAAGAAAGAACCAGGAGGTTCCTGCTACAAGCATCTCCTGATCATTTGGACAGTGCTGACTCATTACATTCATTAAAAAAAAAAAAAAAAGCCAAAGCAGATTGTATGGTCTATGGGATGAGTGAATGACCCCAAGTATGCAGAAAAAAGTGAATCAAGCTGCTGCTTGCCAAAGTATCCTTCAATCTCCCCCAACACTGGAAGCAAGGGCTGGAAATGTGCAAAAAGAAAGGCTTGTGAACATAGGTTTTTTCCCATATGTGTTTATGTAATGTTGCTAAAATAGTTCTTTACCCATACTCCACAGGATGCTACCAACGATTAAGATTGTTTGTTTTGTAAACAGAGAACTAATCCACATGCAAAAGACAATCTTTTCAGTGTGAAGTTATTTAAGATCACTATCCCTATTTTGAACACATGCTGTGTCGCGTTCATTGCAACTTCAGCTCTGCTAACTTTGCTGAAATTCAGATTTCCACGTTATACATTCTCATGTTATGAGACACCCTCTGCATTTTAGGCAATTTGCTTAAACCTCAGCAGATTAGTCTGCAGGACAGAATTCAGCTCTGATGCATTGCAAGGACACATCTCAACGAGCTGGATGGATAAAAATATACTCCCCCCCCCCCCCCCCATCATTAGTAGTAATAAATATAGGATTAGCTGACTTACCCACTTTCAGTGCCATAAGCAATATGCTATCTTAAGTGTTCTAGATAGCAGGAGATGTAATAAAACAGCATCAGCCTATAATTTAGCAACCCTTCCTTGTTTCTAATGTTCTAGTTTTCTAGTAAATTCAGGTATGTGGACTTTATAATGGCTCTCTCATCAACTTGCTAATGATTTTAAACATTTGTAGTGCAAAAGTAACCAAGCAATGAAGATGCTAGTGAAACCTCTGGAAAATGAAGTTGGTCATCCTCTCTGAAAAATCAGGCCATAACGCTTCAAAGCCACCCTTCAAATTTCACAATCTTAGAACATTTCCATTAAAAGCTGGAGCCCTCTACTGAGAACAGTTCTAGTGCCAGGCAAGTCAAAAAGTAGATGTAAGGAACACAAAAGTAGCATCCATAGACACTGACAGAGGGTCTCGAAACTCTTAGCTGAATAATGCCATAGGCCCTTTCTCTAATTGTAGCTGAAGGTATTGAGAGAAACCCCGCTTTTTTTCTGATTGTAGCTGAAGGTATTGAGAATAACTTTATATCAGTGATAGAACTTGGAAGAGAAGCCAACCCTTAAACCAAAGCATCACAATTTCCCTCTGAATGATCTCCTCAGCACCTGAATGATCTCCTCATCTAGCTAAAGTTCAAGGAGTTTTACTTCTTGTTGAAGAGCCTCTGGGTCAATGCTTGTTTCCAATGTAAACAACATCTTATAACATTTGAAGAGAAATATTAAGTTGTGCTTGTGCCTAAAAAATCCAAGTAGCAGCACTGTGTTTTAATTAACTTTGTGGTTACTTTAAATACAGTGCTACTTAACTCATTTAGCAAGCACCTGTCTATCTTCTCCTCCAAGAGGATGTTTTTAGCTGAAGAGCAAGCAAACAGTTCTGCTCTTTAATTTAGCAACCCCTCCAACAGCCCGAATTGTATGTATACATTGCCTCTAACCAAATTATTCTCAATACAATTGACTGTTTGTTGTCAAGACCCCATTTTATCCATTCCATAATGAACATTTTCAATCACAAAAAAGCATGTGCGCACCCATAGTTATTTATCTGGGCTATATCTGGTAAATGTCTATTTGCCCAGGTCATTACCCCAACTCGGAATGGCCACAAAGCTGAATACAGCTCTGTTTTTTTTTAAATTGATCAAGTTATTGAATACTGCATTTTCCAGCAGAACAGAATTAAACTCCTAATCCTTCTAGATAGGATCCATTCTGCATTACCAAATTAAGCTGCCCAAGGCCTTTTCTGAAATATCAAGAGCTGGTAGAATGAGTCACTAGAGCACTGAGAGCCACCAAATACCCATGACAAAGTCTGGGTCATCTTGATTTGTCACAGGCACTTCTTCAAAATACCTGTTACCTCTTTCATCCCCCAAATTAGAACAGAATTAATGTAAGGGATTCGTCGGACTACCAAGAATTTTCTCCCCCCCCCCACTCAGTTTTCTTCATTCTCTCAAACATCTGAGCCATTAGTTGCAATTTCAGTTTCTGTGTTTCTGCCAACATGAGGGAATCCCCCTGTACAAAAATCAATGTTCCAACACATCTGTTTGCAATGCATAACCATTTTATAATCTTTTGCAAGAAAGCTGAAGCATCTCTCATTCCAGATTACAGATCAACATTTCCACTAATTTTAGTATCTGTTTGCCTAACTGTTGTCTTTCCAATCATATCAAACAACAGATAATTCTGCAATTCTAAAAACATTCAGAAGAAAAACAGATACAAATCCCCTATAGTAAGAGTTCCAGTGCCCAGCACCCTCCAATCACAATAATAGGACTTGCAGATCTCACTGCTGAAGCAGAGATTCCCCTAGGCAAGAATGGATAGTCCTTTAAAAGAGATGTGCCCCACCGTAAAAAACCTCAGCCAAAACTCAACCCAAGAAGGCAAGTCATAAAAAAGCCTTTGATCTTCCCCTGAAGTCTACAAACAGCTAAGATGCATTTCATATTATTTACATCATCCAGTAAATAGTGGGATATGCCTAAAATATTGGGTCCCAAAAATGGCCCCCAAAGGGCCATAAAAAACAGATACCAAGAAATACAGACTGATTCTGTTTTCAGCAAAACTGAGTGCACAGTGCTGCTAGCAAACACAAAATCAACTAAAACACGAACAGCCAAATGTATCAGAAAACTAAAACAAAACAAAAATAGCCACTGGAAAGTATTTCACTGGCCTCCCTCTTGACTAACATCTTAAAATGTATTGCTCCTCTCTGCACCATGATAAGTTTCAAATTAAACTAGCCTGGCATGAAAAGACAGTTGGACCAAATGGCTTTTTTAATACCGCTGCCAACAACTCTGCATCTCAATTAAATGACATTCTGGCTACAAGCTCTCAGAATAAGCTTTTCTTCTAGACACTTGATGTTTGAGGAAAGTACCTGCAGTTAATTAATATTACTACACAAAGGTTTACAAGATATTATAGGTTGTTGCATTGCATCTATTAACCCCTTAGGGTCAGCAACAACAGACATACTATAACCCCAGTTTTATTCTGTCCCCCTCATTTAGGTGAAGGTGGACTCAATGAGGAAGAGCTCCTCACAACATATCCGAGCATCAATTATAAGATCATAGCTGTTAAATGAATCAATTTAGAAGTCCTGTGCAAGGAATGAAAACTACTCAGGTCTACCTCTTCCAATTCAAATCGGACCTCATTTCCCGCTGTTTGATTTTCTTTCCAAACCCCTCCTCACCCGAATTCCCTTCTGCATACCATCTATGCTATGGCTTGCAGATACACGCAGGAGCAATAAAGGGAAGAGTCATTCTGTCTGCATACCACCATTGCTACCACCATCGCTACGTTGGCATATCTCGTTGAGAACACTAAGCACTTACATAGTGCTACACTATACATCTGCAAATCACTCTGCCCCTCAACACATGCAGGAAGCAGGCATGTTTGCACTATTAGCCATTGCTCATTTAAGTACCCAATTACTGACAACACCAAAGATTAGAATGGGCATGGAGGAGTAAGCTTTATAGAATGTGTACAAATCAAAGTATGAATCCCTGCATGAAGAAATGAATTAGTGAATATAGTTCACAATGTAAGAACTCCAGCAAGGCTGGATTTAATTTGGCAGACGTCAAATATGATCAAAGGTGAAACACTTATCCTATTAAAGTCAATTGCAGAGTTACTACTGGTTTCAAACAAACAAGATTTGGCCCTTAATTAAGCAAACCCAACCTTAGAACTGCTGTGTCATTATAACTATTACAGATTTCAAAGACCCAGTAAAAACCTGCTAATCATAAGGATTATGAAGATTGCTCTCTCTGTATCTGTCTCTCTTCTCCAGAAACTCCCACTGTGTACTGGCATTTGTCCCAGAACCTCTTCTTGGAAAGACTTTACAATTAAAGGTTTAATTAAAAGACCTAGGCTTAGATTCAGTAAGCTAGCTGAACATATGCCTAATGTTAAAGCAAGTGAATTGTCCCATTGGCTTAACTTCAGCGGAAGTACTCAGGTATTTAAATTTAGCCATGTTTTTAAGATTCTTTCAGAAACAGGACGTACGTTACTTTTCGCCATGTGCACTGTCTATTTAATTTTTCCATTTCACTCAGCTCTGATAGTGAAAATAAATGAGCCAGTGTAACTAGACACGCTGCTCCATTGTTTGGGTAACAACGGAAGGGAAATGCTAATATTTTGGATGAAGAGGAGGAAAGCAACCAAACTTGACATTAAAAATAAACAAGTCTATCAGCACTAGGCTTTCTAAAACTTGTTATTGCACAAAATCTAACAGTATCTTTACCAACAACATTATGGGTCTGATAGACTTAAGTGGGGGGGAAAGATTTAAGAACAGGTAATAAAAAAAAAATAATTGAGAATTGTGCCTTTAACATCTCCTTGTCCACATTGCTCATATACTGCACTAAGTTTACTTTAATACCCAAGTCCTTGCTTTCTTTTGGTTTTGTGGGTTTAATCAAAACCTTTTAAAGTTGTTTATCAAGTCTTGTATTTAACTCCCATTTTTCTTGCAGCATAATTTATAACTAATATTTATCTTCTCAGATCACATGCTACTGCTCTCTCAACGATTTTTACTTTCCATTTTAGTGGGTGGTACTGAGTAGCAGAGCTCTGCTAGCAGGACTATGTAACAGCCTTTGCAATAGTGCAATAATGAGATATGGCATGAGCTTTGTTGCTGTTTATTTCAGCACAAACATTTCAAGCAGGCTCATTGCTAGTGCCTAGTTCACCTCAGCAGCAAATCTCTGCAATGGCCAGAGAAGGGACACTACACAGGAGGGCTCAGAGTTACTACAGAGAATTCTCTCTCAAGTATCTGACTAATGGATCTTGTCTGCATGATCAAGGTCTGACTGACTGCTACAGTTGGGGTTGGGAAAGAATTTCCCCCCCCAGGTCAGAATGTCAGAGGCCCTAGGGGGTTTCACTTTCCTGTGCAGCATGGGGCATGGTTACTTGCTGGTTTAAATGGAAGTCAATGATAGATCCTCCATAACGTGTGAAGTCTTTAAACCATAATGAGAGGACTTCAGTGACTCAGCCAAAGGATAGGGGTCTATTTGAGGAGTGGGTGGATGAAGTTCACAGGTCTGCAATGTTCAGAGGTCAAAGTAGATGATCACAGTGGTCCTTCCTGACTCTGATGTCTATGGATCAGTCTTTAGGCTCATAAAAGGAAACTGTTTTGAAAAGAAGGGTGAGATTTACTGTCTGTCACTACTAAAACAGTACTGTACCGTTACTCCAGATATGATCGGGGCTTTTCCTTCAATTAGCTTATGTATTTCTTGAACTGCTTCCTCATTGCTCTTGTCTTTAAATCGTTTCTTGGAGAGTTCTTGAAGAGCTTCTTTAAACTGATCAAAAGTAATCGTCCTAGAAGATTTTCCCCTGGCAAAACATACACAAAAATCAGAAGAAATTACCAAAAGGATACACAGAACTCCAGGAGAAGGATAACAGATGCAGTGTGCAGTAGCGAAGAACAAGCCAACATACGAATACTACATAAAAGGGATTGCCCTTCATCCCACTAAGACTTGTAGGGCTTGTCTACACTACAGAGAAGATTATAGCTGCCATTGTCAATCTTCTGGGGTTTGAATTAGTGGGTCTAGTGAAGACACACTAATTCAAACAGAGACTATCAGCACTGATGGGAGTGCCTTTTCTCCTCGTGAGGAGTAAAGGAAGTCGACAGGAGCACAAGCTCCTATTAACCTGCTGCGTGGTTGGAGCCAAAATACGATTTAAGATACTTCAACTCCAGTGACAGAATCAACGTAGCTGGAGTTGCGTATCTAAGTCAACTTTCCCCTTTAGAGTAGAAAAGGCCTTGGTGCAGTGTGTCCTCAGAATAGCCTAATCTTTCTTTCTTGAAAGTCACTAGCAGTAATGAAGCTTGCTTGGCTAGATTTCAAAATGAAGGAGAAACTTCAGGAATTAGGTATTGCTCATACTTCTGTCAAAATGCTTGGACCGGTCTAACCCAAGGTCTAAAACTGCACCTGTCTAAACCAATGCCTAAAATGTAGCATTTAACTGGTTAACCAATTAAGATGGGGAGGGGGCACTCCAGATTGTCTGGACTGGAGCTGCCTCCCTGCCCACTTTGGCCTGGCTGGAGCAGCCCACCACCACTAGCTGCAAGTGGGGGGCTGCTCCCAGTTAACTGTTCTCACCCCTAACAGACAGCACTATGTCAACAGAGAATTTTTCCATCAGCCTAGCTAATGCCTCTCAGGAAAGTAGATTAAAAACAGTGATGGGACACAACCCCTTCAATCACTGTAGTGGCATTTACACTCAAGTGCAACAGAAGCACAGCTGCAGTGGTTTAAACAAACATAGCATTCATACTAAATACAAAACATGATTTTAGATAATATTGCAGTGATACATTTGTTTTGTGATATGAGAATTGTGCACATCAAGCTTAAACCAACCATAAAGAAAACATTTTTAACTCCTCCTTAAAAAAAAAAAAAAAAAAAAAGCTTATATCCCACTAGCAATGCATGTGTGATATGTCCTATTAAGTTAAACGAGCATTTTAAAATAGGACTTCACCCCCTGTTCCATTTATGAGACAATATTCACAAAGAATAATTTATAGAAAAGTTTATTTAAGGGCTAGACATTCACAAAAAGCACAGAAATTCATAGCTGAGGCAGAAACTCTATCGTTAATTCTTTGTGTTCTCTTGAGACATGATAAAAAGTGAAAATGAAAGCTGTGCCACATTTCCAGAATGGTTGCTTGTTGGTTTTTATTTGCTAGAGTGGAAAAAGTGTGCAGCAAAGATGCCTAAGGATAGACTTGGACAGATGATGGTTTCTGAATATATCTTTTTTAAGAAAGAGTCAGTATATATTTAGGCACTTTTGTGCATTATAGACCTGACAGATCATACAGACCATAATAACCCATTTAGAAGAGCTCTCAATGCTCCTAACAAGTACATCTGAATAATCACTGTGAAGATGTGTTTAGACAATGTAAATGACTTTTGGCAGTTTAAGAAAAGTACGTTTTAGACAGAGAACTTCAATCAGAATACCGGGCTTGTTTGGTTTAGAAAAGAGAAGACCGAGATGGGACACGAGAGTGGTTTTCAAGTATCTAAAAGGGTGTCACATGGAGGAGGGAGAAAAATTGTTCTTCCTGGCCTTTGAGGAGAGGAGAAGCAGCAATGGGCTTAAATTGCAGCAAGGGAGGTTTAGGTTGGACATTAGGAAAAACTTCCTAACTGTCGGGGTGGTTAAACACTGGAATAAATTGCCATGGGAGGTTGTGGAATCTCCATCACTGGAGATATTTAAGAGCAGGTTAGACAGACACCTATCAGAGTGATCATGCAGTGCTTGGTCCTGCTGTGAGGGCAGGGGATTAGACTCAATGACCTCTTGAGGTCCCTTCCAGTTCTAGTATTCTCTGATTCAATGATTCTAACATAGGAAGGGGAAATGACTTGTCAGAGCTTAATTTGTATGGAAGTTTGAATTTTGCTAATAACAAAAACTATACCTTAAAGTGGATACAGACACACATCTTTCAACTTGCCTAATTTAATACTGCCAAACATTAGGACCAAAATATACACTTCTTGCCTTTGAATTTTGTCAGACAGCCATATCGCATATTAAAACTAAATGCAATGAAGGTATCTCTATCCTACAGCAGAGCAGCCCCGCATCGGTGTTGCAGCAGCACTGTAGTACAGACTTTTCCTACATCAACAGAAGAGATTGTTCTGTCTATGCAGGTAATCCACCCCTTCTAGAGGCAGTAACTCAATCAACAGATGAACTGCCCAACATCATGGCAATTTAATTTCAGAAAGGGAACTACACAAAAACAAGGAGGTTAGTTAAACAGAAATTAAAAGGTACCGTGACAAAAGGAGCACTCAAAGATGATAAGGTCATTGCAGAGAAACTAAATGAATTCTTTGCTTTAGTCTTCATGGGTAAGCATGTGAGGGAGATTCCCAAACATGAGCCATTCTTTTTAGGTGACAAATCTGAGGAATTGTCCCAGATTGAGGTATCATTAGAGGACATATTGGAACAAATTGATAACAGTTAACAAGTCACCAGAACCAGATGGCATTCATCCATGAGTTCTGAAAGAACTCAAATGTGAAATTGCGGAACTATAAACTGTGGTTTGTAACTTATCCTTTAAATTGGCTTCTCTACCTATTGACTGGAAGATAGCTAACAGGATGCCATTATTTAAAAAGGGCTCTAGAGGTGAACCTGGCAATTAGACCAATAAGTCTAACATCAGTACTGGGCAAATTACTTAAAACTATAGTAAAGAATAAATTATCAGACACATAGATGGACATAATTTGTTGGGGAAAAGTCAACATGTTTTCTGTAAAGGAAAATCATGTCTTACTAATCTGCTAGAGTTCTTTGAGGTGATCAACAAACATGTGGACAAGGCTATCCAGTGGATATAATGTACTTAGATTTCTAGAAAGCCTTTGACAATGTCCCTCACCAAAGGCTCTTAAATAAAGTTAGTTGTCATGGGATAAGAGGAAAAGTCCTCTCATGGACTGATAACTGGTTGAAAGACAGGAAACAAAGGGTAGGAATAAATGGTAAGTTTTCAGAATGGAGAGAGGTAACTACTGGTGTCCCCCAAGGGTCCATACTGGGACCAATCCTATTCAACCTATTTATAAATGATATGGAGAAAGGGATAAACAGTGAGGTGGCAAAATTTTCAGATGGTTCTAAACTGCTCAAGATAGTTAAGACCCAAACAGACTGAAGAGCTTCAAAAAGATCTCACAAAACTAAGTGATTGGGCAACAAAATGGCAAATGAAATTTAATGTTGATAAATGCAAAGGAATTCACATTGGAAAAAAATAATTTCAAATATACATTCAAAATGAGGGCTAATTTATGTTATAACCACTCAAGAGAGATCTTGGCATCATTCCGGATAGTTCTCTGAAAACTTCCACTCACTGTACAGCAGCAGTCAAAAAAGCAAACAGAATGTTAGGCATCATTTAAGAGGGGATAGAGAATATCTTATTGCATCTATATAAATCCACGGTATGCTCTCATCTTCAATACTGCATACAGATGTGGTCACCTCATCTCAAAAAGATATATTGGCACTGGAAGAGGTTCAGAAAAAGGCAACAAAAATGATTAGGAGTTTGGAAAGGGTCTCATATGAAGAGAGATTAAAAAGACTGGGACTTTCCAGCATAGAAAAGAGGAGTCTAGGGGGAGATATGATAGAGGTCTATAAAATCATGACTGGTGTGGAGAAAGTGAATAAAGAAAAGGTTTTTTTACTTATTCCCATAACATAAGAACTAAGGGTCATCAAATGATAGCAGGTTTAAAACCAACAAAAGGAAATGGAACTCTTTGACAGAGGATGGGGTGAAGGCTAGGACTTTAGTTCTTTTTTGAATCTTGTTAAATAAATTCAGGGAGGTTAATCTCAAAAAGCAGCATCTCTAATACAGAGGGATCCACTCCAGTACTTACAAAGTTAGGGAGCTCTCAAAGTCAAAAGAACTGTTTAATGTAGTAGCATGTTGCCCAGCAACACAGACTGCATTAGTCCAGTTTGCAGCCCAAGTGTTTCTTTTGTGCCAATTTAAAGAAGTGCCTTGACATAATTAGCAAAAAACCAGACAAGTCCTTTCAGTGATGACAACTGTTTATACAGGTGTAGGTGATGGATGGTGAGGACAGGGAAAGTGTGTGCTGGCAACAGAAAAATCAGGCTAGAGAAGCTGCATACAGAAACCTAATTTGACTTAGTCTAGATATCATTGTTATCATAATCAAACAATAATGCTAGTTCTTTCAGGACCTCAAAAAGATGTTGGCAAAAATATCAGACTCAACTGCAAATGTCATTTGCTATGCAACTATCCTGCTATGCAACATGCCTGTCACAGACATAGTAGAATGAGGACAGTACATAAGCAGGTTTGTAAACATGCACTCCAATTACCTCTCATCAGAAGGAAAGACACTGAAGGAAGGCAGTCTGCTAACATTCTCAAAGCAACACACAAAAAACACCTCCCTACCGCCCCCGCCCCAAATGGTGAGTGTCTAAGATTCAGGGCACTGGAAGGGAGTTAAAACAGCAAACTCCAAGAACTCTCATTCCAGGTGTGTGCACTTTAGTACTATTTGACACAAAATGGATTTGAAATTCTCAGTGGGCCTGGCCAAAGAGTTTGTGGGGCCTAAGTTAGGTGCCCAGACTGTCCATACAATTCACAGAGAGAGTCAGAGATACCCGAGAAAGAGATCCAGAAAAGGCAGCATGCTAGATGGGGAGCCACCTGAGCTAGCTAATAGCAGAAGCTGAGGAGTCCCCTCCTCTCAGGTAGT